GCCGGGTGCCGGGGGTGCTCGGGGGGGCCGGTAAGTTCTGGTAGAGCTTTATCTGAGTAGGTGAAACAGGGCTGCAGCTGCAGGATAGTGGAGGAACATTCCCCCCCCCCCCTGACTAGTGTTGTTAGTTTTTGAAATAGAAACATTAGTAATACAGGACTGTAGTACAGGATAACAGCCACTGGGATAGAAAAAAGCAAGCGCCCTATTATTTTTTAGTAAAGCACTGACCACAGTTTTCCTCGTAACATATAATTATTAAAATACTCACGACCAACTATTCTAAAACATTGTCCCTAGAACGGAAATTATATTTTTTTAAATTGCAAAACTATACAACTTTCTCCCAACGGCGGCCTACCCCCCAAGTAACCAGTGGAGGGAAGTGACAATATTTAATTAGAAAGCTTGCAAGCACATTTGGCTCTTTAGGCTGCTTCTCTGTCCCCTCTAGCTTTCTTCCCCCCTCCCCGCCAATAATTGCGAGGTAGCTGATGATGTTTTTCTTACACCCGACAAAACGTTGGAGTGTTGCCGAGCTCCTGCTGCTCGGCTCGCCGGCTCTGCTGGACAGAGGCCGGGGAGAGACATCTTCATGGGGCCGGGGGCCCCTGCAGGGCCTGGGGCAAATTGACCCCTGGGCGGCCCTGGAGCTCGCAGCCCCCCCCTTACCTTACAAGCGGCCGCTCAAAGCAGCAGGACACGCGAGCTGAGCTGCCCAGCTGCCGGTGGCTTGCGAACCGGTGGGAACCAGCTCCAGCTCACCACTGTTGGTGGCTGAGTACCTTTCTCACTCCCCGCTTCTTCCTATGTGGCCCAAAAAGCTTCCTACTTTCAGCTGCCATCCTCACTTGCCACCATCTTAAGTGTTGTAAACAGAATGCAACAACGCCTAACTCTTCGTCACCTAGAAAATCACAAAAAAATGACCCTGCGATCCACAAAGCCTGAGTCAGGCATGTAGGTTCCCTATACAATGAATGGGAAGAACTAAGCACCTAACATGCTAGGCAGGGAACTGCCTAAGTAGGCCAATGGGAGATGCTGATGTGAGGGGTGTGTACTAAGCCCTGCTCCCTCACTGAGATAAAAGAAGAACAGGAGGACTTGTGGCACCTTAGAGACTAACAAATTTATT